ACAGAAGGAAAACATCAGGCACTGGAGAACTTCAAGGTTACGATGTGCATTACAAATTAGTCTTAGAGCAATCCCGTTTCTTCATGATGCAGTAAGCTCTTTGATCAGAGGAGCCCTCAAGGTTCAATCATTGATGAAAAGAGAAGATCAACCTTTGCTAATCCATACTAGATCATTAGCAGTGACTTAACAGGTGGGGCAGGGGATTCTGGGAAATGAAGGTTGAAGGGAAAAAAACACTTGGGGGTTGGTTATTTTGGCACAAGCTTTGGTTTCCAATCCAAATCTTCATGGATGAACTGCAAAATTAAACATGCGGTTTGAGTACCTGACCTAACTACAGTACATTCCAGCCTGTACAAGTCCCGCAATAGCCTCCAACCAAAAAAACAATAAATAAATAAAAATACCACACCTTCTGCATACATTTCACCGACTATAACCAAAGCCTGCAGAAAAATAAGCGTGTAATAAAACCTATTGAAATCTGATGCTTCCTATCATAGTTGGTTAATTGATTTTACTCCTTTTAATAGACAGACAGACAGACAGACAGACAGACAGATAGATAGATAGATAGATAGATAGATAGATAGATAGATAGATAGATCGATAGATAGATAGATCGACAGCGCCTGTCCCAGCCGTCTTCGGGCAGTAGGCGGGGGACACCCTGAACTGCGCCAGCCAATTGCTGGGCACACATTGACGAACAAACAACCATCCGTGCTCACACTCACACCCAGGGACAATTTAGAGTGTTCCATTAACCTGCCACGCATGTTTTTAGAATGTGGGAGGAAACCGGAGTATCCGGAGAAAACCCACGCAGGCACGGGGAGTAGGTCGTTCCTACTCAGTGGCTGTGACAATGCGAGTGTGAATGATTGTATGTGCCCTGTGATTTTTGAAACCGTCTCTTCTTTTTTTTTTTTTTTTTGCTCGCCTTGCGCGCCATGTCAAACGCCATTCTTTGTATATGCCGCTGGCCCCCAGGCTGCCGTTTGGACAACTGGTTTAACCCATTTGCTGTTGTGGAAAAACATACAAGAACTAAAAACACAAACAATCCATGGTTGCTACTGTGATTTTCCTTCATCTTAATGTAATAATTGTTCAGTGTGATTTCTATGAGCACCAAATGCTGTTCTCATTACTTACTTTTCCCAAAACAATGAGATGACTAACTACCTCTCCACATTAGTTACGTGGGAGGTGTGTAAGTGCGGTCGTATGCCCCCTCCAGTCCTTACTGATAGTGTTAACTGTTTTGTTTTTGCCTGTGTGTTTTTTTATGTCCAGTAAGTAAAGTGTATTTGAGTATTAAGAAAACTGCAATACAAATCTGATTTCTTTTTATTATTAGTATTATTTTTATTATTATTCGAAGTAGCTAGTTTACATTTGTATTCCTTTAGTGGGTGATACTGTACACAACATGGAGTAAAAATATAGACCATCATTTCACACTCACACATTAGCAGTAAATGTTTCCACAAAGTGCAGAGTGCCAGGACCACAGTGCCAGTTGTGAAGTGCATGGTTGCTTGGGTCAAGTGTGTAGTTTTACTGGATATAAAAGAAGCCGGTCAGCCCAGTGCGGTTAGACTATTGCTGCCGCTTGGAGAAGGCCAAGCCCCTGGGGTTCTACTACTGTATTAACTAATTTTCCCTCTGATTTTCCATGTGTCTGAACACTCATACAAAGTCTCTGGGGGCTCCTTGGAACACGGTGAGCAACACCAGACATACACATGGTGGCCAAACCAGTGTCACATCTACCTAACACATGAGATCACAATAGGTTACACAAATTATCAAAGCATCAATCTCTCTCTCTCTCTCTCTCCCAAATTGACTTGACATGTACAGAAATCAATGTAAGTCAATTGGGAATTTTGTAAGAATCAGGGGAGGGCCATTTATAATCATCAGGGCAATTACTAATTGTCAGTGTGTCATTCCATCATCTCACTTTCATCATAGTAAAGTTCACCAGTCCGCCAGTCCACAAATAAATAAATAAATCATAGCCCCAAAAATGAAAAATCCAATTTGATTAAAGTGGGAAATGCAGTGCTCTTAAGAGCACATCACATGTTTGCTGCCCAAAGTGCTTTGCACAGCTTCACGTATACTGTACTGATCCGTTGTTTGTTTTTTTTTTAAGATAAGCGGTAGCTGGCTGATAGTTGCCTGCTCCTGTTTTAACTCCTAAAATGTCAAAATGTTTTCAATCAAAGTTTAAAATTGCTTACGTGCAACAGAATCCCACTTTGCATTGTGGCCAAGGGTGGAATCCAAACCAAGTCACTTGCACACCTGCTCCTGTCTATCAATGTGAGTCTTCTTCTGTCTCTTGAAGGTTGGCAACCAACATTTGGTGCATTGTCACCACCTTCTGGAATGGAGTGTGGGGTCTGCATAACATCTGAAAACACTGAACGCGACCTGGAAGTTGTTCTCACGCTGCCATAATCAGGAGCATCTTATTTGTCTTACATACACATCGGGTGCGAGGATCCAAAACTTAAATCGAGGGACGTCTGATGTGTCCTCTGTAGAAGTCCTGTAGCTACTTGATGGTGAAGTATGAAAAAGGGTGTGTACCAGCGTGACCGTCGACGCAGGACTTCAAATGAAACAGTTTGACATAAACATTCTGTATGACAATATGATTCCATGACACGGGGCACTTTTCAGTTGAAATGCTTCCGCACTTTCACCATTTTCTTTCCGCTGCGACAACTACATGCGCCAAATCAACTTTTTAATTTCTTTATATGAGGTGAATATGGTGGCCCGTTAGTCCAGTGGTTAGCTGTTCGATTCCGGCTCCGGCCTCCCTGTGTGGAGTTTTCTCCAGGTACTCCGGTTTCTTCCCACATTCCAAAAACATGTGTGGCAGGTTAATGGATCACTCTAAATTGTCCCGACGTGTGTGTTTGAGCGCCGATTACTATTTGTCTCCGTGTGCCCTGCGATTGGCTGGCAACCGGTTCAGGACAGCTGGGAAAGGCTCCAGCACTCCCCGCGACCCTTGTGTGGATAAAGCGGATTGGAAAATGGATCAATGGATGAACGTGAATATGAAAATGCCAATTCAGCCATTATGATTTTTTTATTTATTTAATGCACTGCATACATTTGCTGTGCGCTGAGAGCGTGGGAGCAGTGCGCAATTGTGTACGTGTGGAGTTTATAGGGAGCTTAGGTCACGAGCGCTGTACAAGAAAATCAAACTTTCAATAGAGAAAATTAAAAATACAATAGTATTAAAGACATAAACTGTACTGTGCATTGCAGCGATGCCAGGGAAATCGTGAAAATGAATAATGGGCTAATATTTCGCAGTGAAGCCATATAATTTCATTGTACATATGCCTCAACTAAAAGAAATGGTAACCAATCAAAGACAGAGCCTTCTAGAATTTAAGGAAAGAATACTGTTTACGTCAATCAAGGCTGCTGACAGCCACAAAAACCACACAATAATAATAATAATAATAATAATAATAATAATAATAATAATAATAATAATGACATAACAATGGCTGATTTAATTTTTTTAACACCAGATTATTAGAACTGGTTCTGAAACAAATTGATAGTTCGTATGATTCCAAATTGAATCTTTCGTGTGATGAGTTCGGTGAATTTGAAAACACCACAAGCAATCCCACAGATCACAGCCATGAAGTATTCATCCCTTTTTTTCCCCATCCCTTTTTAAAATTGCTCGTACCAGTGAAAATGTGTGGAGACAGCAGCTTGCCCTGCTCAATTATTCAAAACACACCAACTATATTGTGGTTAACCGAGGGCTTGAACACGATTATGTAAATATATTTCCTTTGTACTCTGTGTTGCCGAGAATCCAATCATGATCAGCTTTAATTCTTTTGGGATGCTGCTGTACAAATAGACATATAGGGCGAAAACAATGAAGACGAGAAGAAGGATAAGTTCATCACTATACAGTAAATATTCACTATAAAGTAAAATAACATGTATTATATGACACGGTTGGAGGAAAAATGATGCATGTGATTAGGTTGGCAAATTGGGTTAGGCTGTATAATGCTTCATTAACTAGACTTTGTATGCAAATACGATTCAAACAATACACACACCTCCCAAGTTAAATGCCCGTGAAGTCATACTGGGAGGCAATCAACATTTTTTTTTTGAAAAATACACCTCGCAAGTCGCACAAAGCTTCATTTTTTTGACCCACTGCCAGGCAGGACGTCATGCAAAGCATCATCAAAAAGCAAAAGATTAACTCAGGGATGATTTTTGCCCTGTTGGCTTTTTCATTATTTTTATTTTATTTTATTTTTTTAAGGAACGGCCACAACAAGGTGTATTCAGAAAGAATACACCTCAAAGATTACTTGAAGTAAGTGGACCTTACCCCAGCATGAGCATGTCTTTTTTTTCCCTTTTTTTTCTTGTCCCCGTGTTCTTCCAATTTCCAATTTGATTTCACCCATCTGGTCTCAGACTTGTTGCGTATGATGTTGGCAAAAAAAATACAGAAATAAATAGACTTCTCCGTCTCCCCCATTTCACCATCACCCCGGGTGATAAAATGGCAGAAACTGTTTTCTCTTCGTCCAAGGTGTGAAAATGAATAATGCTTGCGAGGGTGGAAAATGTGACTCTTGGTTTTTCAGACTACTGATTCAGTAAACTATGTTCTGATCTTTCACAGGGAACATTTCATGGAAAGATATTATCTAAATAGCTTTTTGCAAACTTTGTTTGCTGCTTTGTGTGTGTGTGTGTGTGTGTGTGTGTGTGTGTGTGTGTGTGTGTGTGTGTGTGTGTGTGTGTGTGTGTTAGACCAAAGTGTGATGCTTGAAAAGTACTTGGGCACTAAAAGTAATGGATGGCAACTTCTTCATAAGTCTCGGGACAAACGGCATATATGAATGAAAAGTGAGACTCCCCTGGGAGGGGTGAGGGGGGACGGGAAGCGATACCTTCGCTCTTACCTTCCTCCCATCCTTGGGGACTTCCCGCTCTCTTTTCGGTCTTTTGGTGGTGCTCTGTCCATGTGTCCCCTGTCGCCACAATGTTCCATGTAAACTCGGGGTCACCACCTCCACTCTGGTCACATATTTTGCTTCTGTCGCACAGGGGATCTAGTCGAAACAAACATTCAGAATTATCCCGGGAAGGGAAGATGATGCTGAATTTTTTTGTGTGTGTGTGTGTGTGTGTGTGTGTGTGTTATAATAGTTTTTGATTTGTCGTTGTAGTTCGTGATTTCATTTTGACTGTTTTTTTAATGTATTTATAGTTTTGAGTTGTTTTTTTCAAAAATAATTTGTTAATGTTTAAGTTTTACTTGTTTGATTGATTGATTGATTGATTGATTGATTGATTGATTGATTGATTTGTTAGTTAGTTAGTTAGTTAGTTAGTTAGTTAGTTAGTTAGTTAGTTATGTTTAATTGGTGGAGTCTTTGCGAAGTGTAAATTATAATTCCCAAATGGCTGCTCAACCTTCCTTCTTGATTGCCATACAGTAATACCAAAGTAAATACATTTAAAATCGAGTTTTTAGTTTAGTTTTTTTTTTTTTTTTTTTTATGGAGTATTTGTCAAGTGCAAAACAAGAAGAAAATGCGACAAAATATTGTGAATAAAGTAAATTATTCCCAAATAGGTGTTCAAGCTTTCTTCTTCTTCCAGTACTACCAAAATAAATACGGTTACATTGAACACCGAAAGTTCATGGATGATGTTAACTGACAAAGATGAAAATTAAGGACATTTCATTATAACTATAATGAGTTTGATCAAGGTAAGATGTAGTCAGTTTTCTTTTTGAATAGACGGACTTTCATTTTTTATTTTGCTTTTAGTTATTTCATTAGTTTTCATTAACTATCAGAACCTTGATTAGCTCTACGATTGGCCAGCGACCGGTCCGGGGTGTACTCCGCCTCTCACCCACATTCACTTGGGATAGGCTCAAACTTACACACAACCCTGATGAGAATAAGCTGCACAGAAAATGGATGGGTTGGATAACTATGTCGTGGACGCGGGTTGGCAGCCACGTGTTGATATTTTTTTATTTATTTATAAATATAGATTTATTTTTTTAACTGCTTTTTTTGGGGTGGGGGGGATTTTAGGTCTCACTAATTTTCTCAAAAATTGGTAATAAAAAGTATTTTGATCTTTATCTAAGTCAGAGGTGCCCAAGCCGAGTGCTCGAGAGCTGCATGTTTTAGATGTTTCCCTCCTACATTACACCGGATTCAAATGATGAGCTCATGAAGCAAGCTTTGCCGAAGCCTGAGAAGTTTGTTCGAAAGTAAAACTGGAATGTTTGCTCACTGTGGCAAACCGGAGTTGTTACTGCAATTTGGGATGATTTCTGGCATGTTTCTACACTAAATCTGGTTGAGCTCACATAATTTACCCATCCATCCATCCATCCATTTTCTAATCCGCTTATCCTCACAAGGGGCGCGGGGCGTGCTGGAGCCTACCCCTGCTGTCTTCAGCCAGTCGGCTGGGGACACCCTGAACAGGTTGCCAGCCAATCGCAGGGCACACAGGGACGAACAACCATCCGCGCTCACAATCACACCGAGGGACAATTTCGACTGTTCAATCAGCCTGCCATGCATGTTTTTGGAATGTAGGAGGAAACCGGAGTACCCGGAGAAAACCCATGCAGGCATGAAGAGAACATGCGAACTCCACACAGGGAGGTCGAAGCCGGAATCGAACCCTGCACCTCTGCAATGTGAGGTAGACAGGCTAAACAGTCAACCACCGGGACACCCATAATGTAATTTAATTTGTATGTATTTATTTTTAATGCAAAACATATAAATCAGGACATACGTAATTTTCATAATGAATGTGGAGCTTTTACTTGTGCCATTTGGGTTTTTCTCTCCGCCACTCCCTTTTTTGTGCCCTGTCCAGGTCCTTTTTTCCTCCATGTCGCCATTTGTCTGCTTTGAAACATTCCAACCTTCAGAGGACAAATGGGAACCACAACATTTTAAAAGAGTTGATGTACAAGACTTCAACAGAACAGGGTAGGTTTTCAAACCGAGTCACTTCCATAAAGTGCTCCCCTGTGCTGTCATTGACAAGTCTTCTTTAAACAAGGCCAGACTCAGTTGCTGGTTTGGGTGTAACACAGGTCACAAAAATGAACAGTGAAAGCAATGACATTCACATTTGAAATAATAACACTCTTAGTAATGAGTGCATCTTGTATGTGGCAGTGACCCCTCCTGTGGGTGGACTCAATCACTTGCTGAGTTACAATTTCAAGGTCAGCTGTGAGTTCTTTCATGTGCCTTTAGTGCACATTCAAATCTGCAGTCTGGAATGTCACCAATAAAACAATTCTGTGGTGGTTTGTCAATGGTGATCTCAAGAATGGAGGGTTGTTTTGCCTCCTTTTCAAATGGTACCAACACAAAAATCCCCAAAACATTTTGTGGGGGTTGTATATGAAAATGTGACACAGAGAGCCCCGCCCCTCTGGTTTTGTCGTGTTTCAGAGACAAAATTGAAGTTAGGCGGACTCAGAGGTGTCAAATCCAGGTCCAGAAAGTCAAAACCCTGCCACAATTTGGCTTTGGCCATGGGTCCTTCAACTCAAGATCTTATTCATCTGCCAGAAGTCTCGAAGCAACTTTGGTTTAAGACAAACTGTGGCAGGGTTTTTACTATCTAGACCTGGATTTGCCACCTCTGGCCCTTCCCCGTGGGGGGGGGGGGGGGGGGACTACCGGTATATTCAGTCATGACTGCATGAGAAAATATAACTTAATGAAAAAAAAAAAAAGATCTGTGACTGCACTTGCAGATTTAACATTGAGTGTTGCATGTTTGAGATTAGTCTTTGAACTTGATTCTCATCTACTGTATGTTGTTTGACAGTAGTTTTAGTTTTAGAAAATAACTCTCTCTCTGGGTGGCACAGTGGTCCAGTGGTTAGCGCGGCGACCTCACAGTGCAGAGGTAGCAGATTCAATTCCAGCTCCGGCCTCCCTGTGTGGAGTTTGCATGTTCTCCCCGGGCCTGGATGGGTTTTCTCCGGGTACTCTGGTTTCCTCCCACATTCCAAAAACATGCATGGCAGGCTGATTGAACACTCTAAATTGTCTCTGGGTGTGAGTGTGAGCGTGGTTGGTTATTTGTCTGTGTGTGTGTCCTGTGATTGGCTGGCAACCGGTTCAGGGTGTCCCCCGCCTACTGCCCGAAGACAGCTGGGATAGGCTCCAGCACCCCCACGGCCCTTGTGAGGATAAACCGGATCGGAAAATGGATGGATGGAACTCACTCTCCCTCTTGCTCTCTCTCTCTCTTTGTGGACCTTTAGTTGATAATGCAGAGGCCATTTGCATCCTGCACAACAGCAATAACGCTCTTGGACCGAACAGTTGTTGGCACCGGTGGTGGCAGCTGAGCTGGGAGGACTTTGATTGGTGGAGTAAGGAGAAGGGAATTATTTTGGGGGGCATTTTAATCCTTAATCTTGATATGTCTGGAGTGAGGGGGATTTCACCAAGCAAGACGGGAGGTAGTCCGAAGTGTGACGGTTGAGATGAAAGCTTGAATGAAGTGTCTCTGGAGCTCATGGATGCAAGAGGTGGGAGGGGTTGAAGGCCCGCACTAAGTGCTGTTGTGAAGGTGAAGGAGGGGCTGTGTTTGGGATGCTAGAGGTGCTGCTGCATCTGAATCATTTGCTGGGTCCTTGTGTGCTGAGGCAGGAGTTCTCTCCTTTTATCGAGTCCAGGCCTATTCCGATGCCTCAGAGTTAGTGCTCAATGAGCTCATTTGTTCATGTGTGGGCTTTTGTGAGAGTGTGTGTGTGTGTGGGGGGGGGGGTAAAATCTTGGCTTGCTTGGTGTCAACAATCTATTAGTATGAATGTCATGGGGGTATATTTAATTTTGTGCAAATTCTAAGATAAAAATGCACTCATGCAACTCAAATGAAATGTTTCAGTACAAAAAGAGATATACAAAATGTTTGATGGGAATATGCATATTTTGTAGAGTTCAGTACTTGCATTACCAGATTTAAACTTGAACAATGGCTGGATGGAATGGTCTGCATGATAATCTTATAATTATATTTATTTATCTGTTGCTAACAAATATCACAAATCTTGCAAGTAATCACATTGACCAATCAAAGTTTGCATTGAGAATAATCATCAAAAGAGTATCTGTCTCTGCAGTCTTAAAGCACAGAGAGAAGACAATAGATTGTTAAAATAATCTTGAAAATCGATGAGTGGATAATACTTTTGGTTCAGGTCTCTCAATAACCTAAAATCTTCACTGCCAACAATAAGTTAAAGGCAGTGGAGCATGCGAACAAAAAGAATAATAAAAATACAGTACTCAAGTACTGTGCAAATAAGACAAAATGGGAAAAAATTTCATTGCAATATGCAAAATTTCATTTTTCTGTGACTGACAGCCAAGGAGATAAATTGATGTGGAGTTTTGTTTAAGTTATACAGAATTGACGATTCCTTCTGAAGCCATCAATCAATTTATTTTACGTCATGAAATTCAATCAGCGTGCTATTTGTTGTTTTATGACATGAGAACTGCATTGTTTTCCCAAAACCGTTACGATTGTTACATATTGTACAAACAGTATGACTACTCAGAGACACTATCCAAAGCTTGCAGTCATGGGTCATGAATAATTATGAGGCTTGGATGACTGTCGATGTAGAACTGGTCAAGTCAAGGACCATTCCCGCATTAACATATTATCAAGATTCTACCTCTGATAAGCTTTTCAACGCTGCATTATTGAATGGTGAATATTTTAAACCTCAACTCAAATACAATTTAAGACACTTCATGAAAGTCCAAACACACTGAATATTTCACATGCTTTAAAGTCCATTAATTCACTTTAAAGCATTTTGGAAAATGTTTATTAAGAGTAACACACATGCTGCATTAACAAGGGATCTTCATTTGTTAATGAGCCCTTCACGACACTGACCCAGCACACATTCATCAAGTGGAGGAGAAATTGATTCTCGTCTTATAAAGGTGAGACGGGGTGGGGGTAAAAGGCAAGGTCACGGAGATGCTGATCGACTGTGACCATTTTTATTTTGTACAAAAAC